ACACATCCACTGCATCCCCTCCATCTAGCCATCTCGAAACCTTGTCATAGAATTCCACAAGGTTTGTCTGGCAGGACCTGTTTTTGCGGAAGCCGTGTTGTGTGGCTTTCAACCTCCCTTCTCTATCTAGCATCACTAGATCTCTCGCTATTATGAGCCTTTCCATTGTTTTTCCTACAATGGATGTAAGGCTAACAGGTCTGTAATTCCCCATGTCCCTTCTACTACCCTTTTTGAAAATTGGGACCACTGATGCCACCCTCCAGTCCTCTGGAACTTCACCTATTCTCCACGAGGCCTCAAAAATGGAGGCCAGCAGGCATGAGAGAACCCCTGCCAACTCTCTAAGTACTCTCGGGTGTAACCCATCAGGGCCTGGCACCTTTGTAATGTCCAATGCCCTGAGGAGCCCCTCGACTTTAAGGGGGGTGACTCTAATCTGTGCCCCTAAGTCCCCAGCCTCATCTAATCTATGTGGATATCCCCTGTCCTGCTTTGGGGGAGGTTGGCTAGAGGTTGGCTAGAGGTTGGCAAGAGAAAAGACTGTATTAACAGCCACTAGTGAGCTGAAACAAATTTCTGACTAATTAATTTTTCAGAAGGGTGTGGGAGAAGAAATTTATATGGGAGGCTTAATAGTACTGTAAAGCAGTGGCAGGCAGAAAGATAGATAGATAGGGATCTGTGGAATATTGGATGATTTGAAGGTGATCAGGCTTCTAGATGCTGGGAAATACCAGCAACAGGAACGGTCCTACTACCTAAACTAGGCTGAATTCCTGATCTCCAATGCAGATTTACACTTGCTTATACAAGACTTCTCATTACATGACTCATAGGGTACCATAAGTAAAGAGCCTTGCATCCCTGCCCCAAGCCAGTTTTGCACCAGCCACAAATCCTGGTTGATCTTGGGGTTCTAGGAAAAAAACAAACCAAAACCAAAGCCTGAAGTCTGATCATGTCGGCTGTCAAGGGTCCCTCCAAGGGTTTGTGTACAGGAAAGAAACTTGTATATGAGGCACTGGGAGAGGCAAGGAAGAAGAGGACAATGTGCATGTATTCTGTCAGTCCTGTGCATGCCATTCATTTGTGCATGGCATGTACACCCCACCTTACTTTCAAAGAGCCCAAGATGCCGTACAGGATCCTCTTTCTCTTCATTCTACCCTACAACAACACTATCAGCCAGGTTAGGCTGAGAGTCTGTGACTGGCCCAAAGCCTCCCAGTGGGCTTCAGGGCTGAGCGGGGGCCACAACCTGGATCTCCCCAGTCCCAGTCCAATTCTAACCACTATGCTAGCCTGGCTCTCAAATCTTTAACAAGGCCATTTTGGATGTCCGTTTTGTGGGTTTTGGCTGCAGCAGCTATTAAGGATTTGAGCAGGGCAATAGTTTTCAAAGCACCCCAGTGCGAATATAGAGAGAGGGGTGGTCTGGCTGCAATTGTGATGGCATATTTGAGGGCCTCAGATACAGAAGCACGACTGGAAAGAGAGGTCTCTTGTGAAAGAAAAATGATGTAGCATCTTGGACCTGGAATATGCTGCAAAGAAAACTGGGTTACAGTGAGGAAGACTTCCAGGGCCTGGAAAGCCTAGTTTGCTGTGGGTTACAAGACAACTGACTAGCAAACATGGCTGGCTCCCAGTGCTGGCTCCAGGTTTTAGGCAAGACTCCCTCAGGAGGCTGTTCCCTCCCTCCTTCAGTGGTGCTGCTTGCACCAATTGCAACAGTTCCTCATCTTGGTTGGCATTGCTACGACTTGCTTGCTTGGCAGGCAGAGAGCAGGGAAGCATGTGCAGGCAGGAGCACCTTGTGCTCTTCCTTCTCACCACCACCACTGTCTGGGCCAGAGTGAGAGGTGGGGGAACAAGCAGGCTGCAGTGGGGAAGTGGAGGAGCAAGTCCAGGGGTCTCCTATCCATGGTCCTCCACTGCATGCTGGGCACCTGCTGAGTCCTGGCCCTGCGGCTCCACCAGAAGGCTGGCCGTTTCTTCACAAAGGACTCACCTGGCATGCATCAGCTCTTCCGTCCAGGTATCCAGCACATAGCATGCCTTCTGCAATGTGGTTCCCAAGCACCTTGGCAGAACGGCACTCCTTCTCAGGCATAATAGGCACGTGTGCCTCCTGCAGATTCTTAGCGAGATGGGTGGCTCCTGCAGGGAGAAGGCAGGGTTCTAATGAACAAACGCATCAGCACTCCAGGTTAGATTACAGGGTGCTGCGCATCTGGATGACTGGGGAGGATGGCCTGGGCCTCTCTTCTCCAGTGGCCTTTAGGATCACAGAAGAAACTCTGGACATTGTAAACTTGCAGTGTGCTGGCAGCCTGAAGCAACTTCTCTTGCACAGAAGGCTTTAGCTGGGTGCTGTGGACTGTCCCTGCCGGCGTGATTGTTAGTGAAATCTTCCTTACTCTATAGATCAGGTATGGGGAACGTGGCCCTCAGAGGCCACCTGCATGGCCTTGCCTCCCCTCACATGTGCAAAGAAGTACACATTTATAAGAGGACAGGGGGTGCACACATGAGAAGAGCAGCAGCAGTGGTGTGGCATCCAGGGGGTTGACATTGGAGCTTGTGCACCTCTGCTGAAATCAAGACAGAAAAGGTGCAAAGGAGTTGCAGGCCGCATGCATTTGCCAAAATGATGGCTTATTTTATGTCCAGCATCAGACATAAAGGAGCAGAAGGAGTGTGCTAAATTATCCCCTTGCCCTGCTTCTGTGCTTCCCACTGGGGCATCCGGTTGGCAACTGGGCAAACATCATGCTGGACTATATAGGCCTTGGTCTGAGCCAGCAGGACTCTTCTTGTGTTGGAGATGGCCGAGAGGGGAGGGTTAAGGAGGACTACAAGGCAGCATTGTGCCTCTCCATGCCTCATCCCCTGAACAAAAATCTATAGGGAATGGCAACCAGCCAGTAGGCCTGGACCTTTATGGAAAGGATAAGGAGGCCCGTCCTGTCCTCATGGCTGAATTGGGCCACTTCTTTCTCACCTTCGTACATATACCCCCATCCAGCAATCTGGCATTCCTCGCTAATGTTAAGTGCTGTCTTGTTCAAACTGGGCAAGCAAACGGGGGAAATGTAGCGTGAAAATTCAACACAGTGCCCTGGTGCCTTCTCCTTGTCCTCCTTCAACCGCACCAGTGCTGGGAGAAATAAAGGACAGCAAGTTAGCAATGAACTGGCACTCAGGAATGAGATTTGTAGGCAGGTAAACAGAAGCTTAAATTGTTCTTGATGGAACCCAGCTGGCCTAGAAACAGTGCCTCAGGCTGAAACGAGATGCCCTGCTGCAAGGCACAGAAACAGGCCTCTGGACTGCAACATGCAGCCCAGCCTTTCTGCTCCCTCCTGGGGCTGTACTGCATGGATTAGGCCTTGCGGTTCTTCTGAGAAGGGGACTACACCACCTTGCTCTTCAGTGCAGCTGACATACATATATGGCTCCACCAAGACTCTGGAAAGATGAAACAGCTGGTGGAGCCTGGGCTGGATGAACCATGCTAGGAGGGGGGGAAAGCAAAGGAAGACAAGCTCACCAATGTCATGGTGCTTGTTAATCACAGAATAATTCTCATGCAGCAGGTAATTCTGTACTCGGACTTTCGTGGAGCCTACGGTGTTGGGGTTGTAGAGAGTATGGCCCAGCACCACGGAAATCAAGGACACATTGGGCCTGTAGGGCAAAATCTGTGGTCAGCAGCGCCTCTGAAAGGTCTGAGCCAGACCCTCTGAAGGCCATTTCCTTCTTTCCTTAGCAGGAAAAGGAACAAGACTTGCCTGTTCTCGAAACAATGCGCAGCAGTCAGGACCCAGCAGGAGCTGATGAGGCTCCCTCCACAGAACTGCTCCCCGATGAATATGGCGGCCATGTAGGGGTGGGAACCAGCAAGCGCCACCATACCCCCCACTACACGGGAACGTGAAGAGGTGACCTTGGTATAACGCTTCCCACAAGCTGCAGCCGGGACAGACCTAGTTACAGTCTGGGTCAAGTTAGTGGTAACGACTGGTGCTGAGTCCCTTACATGCTGAACAGTTATTACTGGAGGGGATGCTGTGGTGCCTGTGGAGAAAAGAAGCTTGGCTCATTCCTGTCTGAGGTTCAGCCCCCCCCAACTGTTTCAAGGAGCATGGTGCATGCCTTACCTGCAGGCTGGGCTTGGCAGCGAGTGACATTGCAGAACTCCCAGGTGAGGTGCCCCTCTTGCAGCACGTAGCACCACGGCTGGCTGTCGCTGTCTGGGTTTCTGCACAAAGGGTCGAGTCCTGCCTCCAGCCAAAGCAGCACTGAACGGCCTCCCCTCCTCCCGCCTTGCCATTTCACTTTCCTTTCCTCTGCCCCGCGCTTTTGTAGCAGCTCTTTGGTCCTTCCCAGCCCTGGGCCCTTTGCCCCTCACACACTTCTTGTGTCCCCTCCTCAATCTCCTCTTGGAGGCTTCCCTTTGCAAGGCATTTCTTGCATGCTTGTGGTCCTTCACTAGTGGAAGTTGCAGGTCCTTTACATCCTCCAGGGCCTCTCCCCTGTTTTTTTTAATAATTTCTGCAGCTTTTTTAGAGTGAGGAAAGTGCAGTGTTTTCTGCCATGGTGCCATAATTCGCTATGGAAAGCCTTTTGCAGATACACAGTTTTGCTCTCCACCATAGTAGTACCTTACAGTTGTGTAATTGCTCATACAGAAACACACAGAAGGGAACTCTCTGGAAAAAGACTTCTTTAAAGGAGGCGCTCTTCCTCTCACAAAGAGAACAGAAGCAGCGGCCCCAGTGAAGAGGCAGGTTCACTGCCTCATGCACAGGGGCCCTTACTCTGTGTGCTGTTATTGGGGCTGACATACGACTCTGACCCTGCAGCTCACCTGCAGAAGTTGTGTTCCCCCAGACCCAAGCTGGATGCTCTGGGGAAATTGCTGGAGAACTCTTGAAGCAGGATGGGGGAGTCCCAGGGCAGGCAGGGGATCCCTGAGCGACTGCTCTGGACCATGCCTCGGTATGAGTGCCCATTCCCACTGTAGCAGGTCTGATTGTGGTCTAGGAAATAAAAATACCGGAGGCAAACCCTCAGTAGTCTGAAAAAACATGTTACACCACGAAGAAGGTAAACTTTTCAAGACCCTGTTTGCCTGTCCCAAGAGGATTGCCACTCCCCATCATATCTCAGAGCATTCGGAGCCTGTCACACCTGAAAAGCACAAAAAGAGCCGTGCTGCATCAGAGAAAACACCTCCTTGTCCAGACTCCTGCTTCCCACAGAGGCCAGCCGGGCCCCTCTGGGAAGCCCGTGAGAAAGATAGGGCTGCAAGAACAGCACTGCCCTGTTCACGTTCCCCAGCATGTGGTGTGACAAAGCCATCATAACTAACAGCCACAATCTTCCTGCAGGCTTCCTGGGTAGCACACAAGGCTGGTCCAAGAAATGTTGCTTACAAGCTACGTGGTTTTTCATGTTGGATGAATCTGATCAGGGTCCTCTCCTGCAGCTCAGGGCAGCAGACCAGCCCGGGAGGCACAGGTCAGGCCACGCAGCACATGCAGCTCTGGTCTTGGACATGCACCTGGCAGGCGTGTCATGAGTGGAGCTGGCTGGAGCTGGGGGTCAGACTAGATGGCCCAGGAGACCCCTTCTGACTCGCTCAGTTTCTATGTCTTCAACACCTTGTCACCACTCCCTGCACCACCACCGTGGCATATGGCAGCTGCCTCCCCGATTTCTTCCTCTCTCAAAAATTGTTTTGCTGAAAGCAAGAGGGTAGCACTAGGAGGAAGGACTGGGAGAGAGGACTGGGCTTGGCCCACGGGAAAGGCTGCGTTCTGGGAATCCAAATCAGTGCTTGCCCCAGTTCTCCCGCAGAGTACAGAAGAGGTGGTATGAGGAGGTGGCGCACCAGGGCAGGAGCCCCAAATCTCTGGGAGCCTGTCTGCCTCACCACCCTGCTATCCATAGGCTGACATAAAGGTATGGGGGCTCTGTTACAATTGGTCCCCTAGACTAGCTGGATGTTTGCCTACATGTGCATCATCTCCTGCTGCTCTTCCCCTACTTGAATCTTTTGGTCCAAGGTTTTTTTCTGAAATCAAATGCCCACCTTTCCCCTTCCCATACATCCCTCTTTACAAACAGGGGTGTCCCGAAGAGACAGGCTCCTTTAGAGTTTCACATACAGATCGACCTTAGAGTATGTGTAAACTTGCATATAGAATTAATTTTGGTCCTCTGGCCTTAAGCACTGCCCCTGAGTATACATACCCACATACTACTCCCCTGTGCCCCATGGTTCTCAGCCCTTCAGAACAGAACTTCCTTTACCACTTCTTGCCTCCAATTCTAGGATGAGACACCAGGGAATCTGAGTCACCCGTTTTGCCATGCAAGTGGTTTTAAACTGGCCTGATTATTTTTTTCTTCAGCTCCTCACCATAGATGGTTTGAGAATGAAAGAATAGTATAACCTTACTGGTTCAGAATAGTTGTCCCTCTCTTCCAATATCCTATGCCAGCCTCATCATCTGAATTACTGGGCCTTGATCCTTCTCTGTATTTGTAAATGTACCCAATTCTTTAAAAAATACACATACCCAGTAATACTATTGTGATGAGTATGCTCTGTGTGAACAAAATATTTCTTTGGTTGTTTGAAACATGTAGTACCTTTAAGGAATCTATACCTTATTTTTCCCCAGCGGGTTCTATTATGATACTCATTATTACTGCTAATGTGCACAGCTTATTTAGAGTGCAAAGTCTTTCTCAACAATCAGAGCATTTATCCTCGTAGCAACCCTGTGGAGTAAGTCACTGCAAGTCCTGCTTTACAGATGGGAAGCTGACTGTGAGAGATGACTGGCTTTGGGCCAGCTAACTGAAGTGTAACTCAGGGCTGAAGACACTTGTGGCCCCTAGCGGATGTTGCTGCACAGCAACTGCCTTCATCCCCAGCCAACATTGCTCATGGATGCAGTCCAAAACTCTCCGGAGGGCTGCACGTTGCCCATCCCTACTGTAGCTGATTAATGCTTTAAATGTAGGTCCCCTGGGTTCATTCCACTGAGACATACGAGTTCTTTGCAAGTATCCCTTTGAAGAGGGTTCAACCAAGGATGCACTTCATGCTCAAGAGTTGACTTCTATCCCTTTCCTAACAATTCTCCTTGCATTTCAGCGGTGGCAGCACAGCTAACAGATTCTTTTTGGAACTATAAGATGCCTATTTCTTGACCAAAGAACAAGACTCTGCTTAGAATTCAAGAGTGGGACAGAAATATCCTTGCAATAATCCGTCTTAGTGTGCATCAGTTTTTCCCCACACATGGATTCCCACATAGCCATTTCATTGCCCTTCTTTATCTACCACAGGTTTAAACTTAGGTTTTTGCACACAGGCATAAATATACTTTAATGAATATCTACAAACATACCTATGCCACACAGTGGTCCAGAAAAGCCTTCAGGACAAGCGCAGACCCAGCCATCTTTCTGCTCTAAGCAGTGGCCTCCATTCAAGCAGGGATTTCTTGCACATGCTGTGGGTCAGAAGAAGCAGTACAGATCATTGGAAGTTTAGGCCAAGCCAGGCTATTGGTCCATCTAGCTCCATATCGCCTATTCTGGCTGGTAGTCCCCCTCTATCCTCAGTCCTTAGGGAGCGTTATTTTGCATCAGCTGCTATCTGATTCTTTTTTGTGGTGTCAGGGATTGAACCCAAACTATTCTGCACACAAAACAAGCATACACCAGGCTGAGCTGTGGCTTCTCAGAGACAAAAGGCAGGCAGGTCTAGATCAGGGACTAATGGCACAGTTAAGAATCCACCAATCCACTACTTAGTACCCTAGTATAACCCTCCCCTTTTCTGGCATTGAGGGTGCGTCTCAGGGTAAGCAGTTTGTTACCCTCCAGATCTCCACAACCCCTCACCACTGGCCGTCCTGGCTGGGGCTTCTTCTAGTTATTCTCCAAAACATCTGGAGGGCACTAGGCTGCCTATCCTTGATGTAAAAACAGCTTAATCCATTGACCCATCAACCAAGGTGGGGGATGGGGGGGGATCCTTTCCTCCACTTCATTCATTGCATTTTAACCCCAGTCTTCATGCTTTATCATCCCAGTAAGAAATGATAATGTCTGCATTCATTCTGTGCTTCATCTCCTTTGCTTTATGTTGTGTGAAGGAGTCTTAGTGTCGCAGGGACAGGCTTGCTAAACCTTTCTGGCATGAAAGCCCTGCCACTGACTCCAGATACAAGAGGCCTGGCTTTGGCAAATGCCTCACACACACGCTGGTTTGGTGCTACGGTGAGCCTTCAAGCAGTCAGGACTGAGCTGCCAGCATTTTGTTGAAGCTCTACTCCTGTCTGGTCTTTAACAGTATAAAGCTCAAAATAAAAGCTGCAATGGACAAGGGGTCCCATGGACATAGGAGTCCCCAGTCTCCCCTGCTTTTCCCCAGCCAAATCCTAACCTGCTACTCAACATGCCACCGTTTGCCAAGTCACTATTCTATGCGTGTTAACCGAACCTATAATCAGATTGGCATTATGTTACATATTCCTTGTGGGTGAGGATGTACATACATACACATATATAGTAATAGCTCAATCTGACCACCTACACTTTCAGACCTGGGGAGAGCATGGCTCTCATGAGGAGCTCCTGCATTTCACAATGTACCAGCCCACCACTGGGTATTAGAACCTTCATTTCAGTCAACCTGATTGCAAGACATTGATTTGCATGGATGAATGGACAAGAGTGGGAAGCTTCCAAAGATCACAGGAGTTCTAACTATTTGGTAATACAGTGATGGCAACCAAGGGAGGGCACGACACTGTGAACAGCAGCAAGGCTGTTATTGTCAAATCAGGTTCTTCTGTTACAGTTGATTCTAAATCATATGCTATAGGATCTACATGCAGTAGGATTCTTGCAGTATAAGCCTTTTTGATACAGAATGGATCATACGAACTCATAAAGCATTTGGATCACTTTTTATAAATAAGTGACATTATTGGGATACTGAGGGTCTGAGCAGACCTGTATGCGGTTGCATATAACGTAATTGCACCAGCCTTAAACAGAAAATATACTTCAAAAGTGGGAGGAGAGAAGAAGAGGCAGCTAGCAAAAGGACTAGGTATCTCCCCACATCTGCATTCATCTGTACTCCAAATCAAAGATTCCCAAACAGGGTTTTCTCTTAAAAAAGGAAAGCAGTTATGCTATGTGCAGTTGAGTCCAATGCTTAGTTAGGTCCTAAAAATGACCAGAAATACAAATATAACAGACAATGCTCAGCAATGAAACTCAGTGCTGTCAGAATTTTGTTGGTGTGTGAATTAGAAGCTACCCTTTATTGGCAGGGTGAGCAGTGCAGCCAATGAAGCACAAGTGAAGCACAAGCACAAGCACATTAGAGGCATTAGAGGCAGGAACCATGTCTGGTTTTGCTTTCCTCACCCACAAATACAGCCTTTGCCAGCCTGCCTTCCAGATGTGTTGGACTGCAACTCCCATCATTCTCATCCAGGATGACTGGGATTCATGGGACTTGCAGTCCCACTCTTTTAGGATGATGAAAGCAGCATGAATGGACCTCTCGTTCTCCTTTGTTCTGATACTGTTTGCAACCTGTTTCTACTTAGCTCTGACCCTTTCCATGAACAGCCTTGCACTGGATCTTCTTTTTACTGCAGTGGCACTCCTCCAGTCTCGTAGGTTGATGGAACCGCATCCAGCTGTCCTTCCTGCCAATGTGTAGCTGTCTTCGTGCTCCAAAGCAGTCTTCTGCAAAACAAAGTTATGAAGGGACTCTGGCAGCCGATCATTACCTGGTGCAGTTGAAAATCAGCCCCCAAAGCAGCTGTAGGCCTCCATCTGTGGGTGGCCTCCATAGCCATCACTAGGACATGACATACTTTAGAAATGCCCCATCAACTCCTTGTAAGTCCCAGCACCATATCACAACATTTTCCATGCTAATTTTGAATTATTTGGTTCCAGAAGGATAAGAGGCTTACCAACCCTGAGTGGATGGTTCAGTAACACCATTTATAATGGAGGCATGGCCCTCAGCCATTTGACCTGAGGCATTATGGGCTAGGACCTTGGCCTCAGCACAGAGAGGGATGACAGCATGTTTGTCCCAGTGTAAAACTCCTTTCTAGTTGGTTGTGGTGCCAAAGGAGATGCCTATCCATGGCCTGAACTAGGCCATCAAGGCCATCAAGGAATCGGACTAGGTCCACGGCTCCATGGCCCAAGCTCTAGTACCTCTCTCACAGCGTTTCCCATGGTAACCGGGGGCACAGGAGCAACGGAACCCATTTTGCCGAGCTTCACAGACACCATTGTTCTGGCATGGGTTAGAGTCACAGTGTCCTGCAAAAGGAAGCCAAAGGTCAGCCATATTTGGCCAGAAGTCTCAGGCTTTGGGCTACGTAGCTACTACAGCAAGGACAGAGCAGCCCATGCCATTGACCATGGAGCCTGACACTGCTGGTTGCTGAAGCAGTTTAAGACTTGTTTTTTGGGAGACTGTCAACAGCTGGGGGACAATGTACACATCCTTGTCATGGTTCTCTTATCACTCCAGGCCAGCTGAAGGTTCCTCCAGTTTCACAGAAACATAGAAACAGAGCGAGTCAGAAGGGGTCTCCCAGGCCATCTAGTCTGACCCCCGGCTCCAGCCAGCTCCGCTCACAACATGCCTGCCATGTTCCCAACACAGACTCACCTCTTGGCCTTTCACTTTTCCCACAGTATCTCCATTTTTGGTCTCGGTCATAGTTCTCTGTGGTGGCGCACCTGATCAGGGAAAGTCACAGAAGGAATACATGGAAGCTAGGCCAAAGCTAAAATGGAAGGTTGTAAGTCACGACTTCCTGTGCTTACCTCAGAGTAAAGACTGATCAAGTCCCACCCTATCCTCTGTTCCCTCCTAGCATCGTCCATAGTTTTCACTCTCCTAATGGCTGAAGCTCTTTTCAGTGAACAAGTGCTTACCAGAGTTTAGGATGATAGGTACCGGAGTGGCAGGCATGGTGCATTTTTCGCTGGAAACGGAAAGGGAAATGGCAGAGCTCCTCACTGGATTCTTCCTCTGCAAGGTAAAAGTGGATGGGCTGCTTCCATTGCATACAGGCTCAGGGGGGAAGAAAATATAAAGGCTGACATATAACTCTGGCATCTTCCGCCTGGCAGGTCACTTGGGAGGCCTGTCCTGCTTCTGGTCCCCTTAAGAAAGTCACCTTTGGAAGTGACAGAAGACTCTTAGGGCCTTACTTTTTCATGCAATCATTGCATCATTCATTCACGGGATCCAGATGTTTTTCTTCAAAGGAGCACTTCTGCTGTGGGGAGGTCATATTTTCCCAGCAATTAACCAAAAAAAAAAAAAGGATGCAGAATATGTGATTTCTTTGCCTTGCCCAAGCCATTGCAGATTGCTGTGCAGTGCAACTGGGAAAGGCACCCTGGCTAGTATCCACCACAACAGTATTTATGTAGCCTGTTATTCTGAAACCAAAAATTGACAAATGATCAACAGAATACCCTCTTCCTTTCTGCAACCCTTTACTACTGTGTGAAATGGCCCACTCCTCACCACTACAATTCCAAAATATGAGCTCACCCATCCTGCAATGATGAGGCTCCTTTACACCTTTGATCAGCAAAATATCACCGCACATTTTAGCCACAGTGTGTGTGGGCGTGAATGTTTGGAGACACAGGACTGGCATCAGTCCATGCCATTCTTGGGCAACTTCCAGGCCCCTAGCACTTTGGCAAGGCCGACTGCTCATTCCTGCCCGAGCCCCACCTTAATCTTTTTCCAGGCTCGACACTCCAAGCAGTTGCAGAACAGCTGGGTCCAGCTGCCAGGATAATTTCCAGTAACACTCCTCAAAAACAATGGATCTGGGGTGCTGTGAGAAATTCTCATGGAGGCTAGACCCTGATTATTTTATCTGGCCAGGGTGACTTCTTTTATATTGTTATTTATTTTATATTGTTATTTTATATTTTATATTGTTATTATTGTTATTTTTTATGTTGTGAGCCGCCCCGAGGCTTCGGCGAATGGGGCAGCATATAAATGTTTTAATAAATAAATGCTGGCCAGAGTCCTTTTGCTGCTGCCCACCTGTGGGAAGCACCAAAGGAAGATGGGGCCTGCCAGAAGGACCTTGGTACAGGGCCCCTCTGTCCAGAAACTTGCTTTATAGAGAACAGGCATCCTCTGTTTGATGGCCAGGCCAGTCCAAGTCAGGTTTTAAGGTAAAGAACTATACGAGAGTAGGGTGAGAGGGATTGTTTGCCCACCTAAATTATAGTAATCATTTCTAGGTTTTCATTCAGACATATTTGCATCTATACCCATAAACTAGCATATGCACATTTTATGGAAACCTTTTGCCTTTTTTGGCAACACACAAGCAGGGTGGGGGAACTCTTTCTTTGATAATTTAGCAAAAACTGGCAGGGAATTACCCTTTGAAAACCTGGCTTTCCCCAACCTGGTGCCACCCTCATAGACTGGACTACAACTCCCAGCATGCCCAAAAAGTGACTGAGAAATTTAGGAGCTGGACTTCAGCACTTCTGGAGGTGCTGGGTGTGTGGAAGGAGGCCACACTTGGGGTTCATTCCATGGTTGCTGTTTCTCAGCTGGCATGAACTCACAGAATTGCTTCACACTCACCTTCATAATGGTCCTTGCGTGGCTTGTGATGCCGCCCCTGCCAGAAAAACAAACATTGATGGCTGAGCTGGAACAGCACAGGCCGCTTTTCAAAAACAATTCAGCCCTGCCAGCCTAGGCCTCTCTTCTTTTCCTGCTCTTTGCAATCCCATCTCTGTACTGATGAGGCTTTTGGGGACATGGCTCACCTCCAAGGCTGCTGAGGGGCTTGCACTGCCTAGGCCTCAGAAAGCACAAACACCTCCTCAAAGGCAGCCATGGGCTGTGCAGCATCCTCTCTCTTTAAAGGTTTCCAGTCCAATCCCCCTCCCCCACCCGTAAAAGCAATATACACTATTAATATTTATCAGATGTATAGGCTGCTGCATTTTTTAAAAACTCTTTACGTTGTAAATTGGGAAGATATAATCTCACAGGTAATTATTTTAACCAATCCTGCTAGCACCTTTTACAGGCTTAAAAGCCCCCCAATGTTACCAGATAAATCTTAGTTGATTGATGGCATGGCTTTTAGTTGATTAGACAGTTAAATTTGCATATAAATGAAACTTAGGTAATGTGAAGGGCAGGCAAGTTGGGGTACCTGCGGAATGGAGTGCCACACCTTGGCAGGGACCGCCCCCCCCCCCACACACACACACTAGGGCAATGGCTGTAAGAAGGGGAAGGAGCTCACTGAGGGCTCAGGGACACCAGGAGCTGCCACAGAATGAACTGGTGGCTCTGATGCGAAAAGCGTAAAGTCTGAGAGGGGCCAGGTTGGTGCCCAGAAGAAAGAGGGCCTTCTCAGTGGCGGCTCCTGATTATGAAACAAGCTCCCCACTGAGGCCCTCCTGGGCCCATCTCTCTTTCTGGTGCCTTGCTCTCAGAGCAAGTCATTTAATGGTCTTTGGGGGACATATTCTGTCTGTAAAGGCCTCATTGCTTGATGGTATTGAATGTGGTTATCGGTAGTACTGCATTTTATTTTTTTAATTAATTGCTACCCTCCCAGAGCACTATGGCTATTGAGCAGTATCTAAATGAACCATGGAATGCTCTTGTGCAGTCTATATGGCAATCTTAAAGAGCAATAGAAAGTTTCTTCCATTCTTCACCTGAAGGCCAGAATCCCTGCCAAGCTCAGGCAGTGCTTGAAAGGGTGGCATAAAAGAGAGGAAAGCGCAGACACCAGAGCATAAGAAATTACTGCACTCTTTATGGGATATTCACAGATTCAGCCCAAAGTATGGTAGTCAGGAGCAGGGGCTCCAGGCACTGCCAGATATACGCACTTGGACAAGTATGGGATTAAACAGTCCCCATTCCAGTATTATATGACCCAGGTAGGTAATAGCCTTATTACAGCAGGATTGCTTGTTTGCTTTTTAAATTGCACCATAGACATATCTTCTGTGAGGGAGAAGGAAATAGGTATCCTACAATGATTTGAAGTACACACACAGTTCACAGAATGTTGAGGAAATATTGTGGGGAAGGAGGTACCTTTGCCAATGTTTTCTTAGTGTTATTTGGGATGGTGTCTGAGTATGTTGAGTTTTTTGGGAAACGTGACATTTTAAAAGGCCTCCACGGTAGCAGGATAGTGCGGAACACTCAGCTTGTAGAATCAGAATTCTAAACGCAAAAGCTTTAAAGCCCTTCCACATTCTTTTCAAATGATGCAGGCCTCAGGGGGTGACAGGAATGTGCTGCCCATCTCCGGCATGTCAAGGCCAGTGACCCACAGAGCTTTGTGCAGTTTTATACAGGACTTCAAACAGCAACAGTCATGCAGTGGAATGACCCAAATAATATAATTTCTCTTAGGAATGTTAGGGTCCCCTGCAACAACTGAGTAACAACTTGATTTTCTTTGCATCCATCATAAAACAATATACTAGGAAGAACAGCAGCTGAGAATCATGAGCAAATCCCAAGCCCCAAGAATTGGCCTGAACGACTAGGGTGAATTTTAGGGGCAGGAACAAGCTTTGCAACTTGTCTCCATCTTGCATACCTTATCAGCTGCTGACACCTCCCTCTACCCTTCCTTTTTATGCTCACAACAGGGACGAATGTCTTACTTGTCTAATGGTCAAGCTTCAAAACTCTGTTGTGAATGTTTTCATGAGACTCAGAATCTGGGTATAAACTATAATGGGCCTACTGGGAACCAGAGCAGAAAGGAAACAATTAAATGGATATCAAATGGATGTGCTGGGATCTCACCTGGAATGACTCTCCTGGACTCAGAAGAACCACAAACAGTGGCAGCAGCAGCAGCAGAGATGTCATGGCGGTGCCCGGACAAGGATGAAATGGTGTGGTTTGCGCTTTACTTCAAGCAAAGCAAACAAGTCCTAGATCAATACAGTGTAAAGCAAAGGTCTTTTGGTGGGAGTTAATCAGCAGTTTGAGGACTGCAGAACTGGGACAAACACTGTACCAAAACAGCAAGATTGCGGGACAGAAATAGAAAGAGGTCCATAAGAACTTCTTGTATTTCTTGTATCCACAACATCCTTCCACTTGTTCAGAATAATAAGTCTTCTGAGAAGGACTGCTGCAGCTCTCTGTGAACTGCAAAAAAGCTTGAAATTGCATTTCTGCAACTTCATTTTAATTCATTTCTGTGCCACTCAATAGGCAAAATTTTCTGGACAATTTACAAAGATTAAAAACCTTAAAATAACATTCAGACATATAAACTGATGACACACGCCTGCATATACTGAAACAATTTTAACAATCAACAATGAGAACTGCCAGGACCTTATTAAAATCCTTATCACATGTGGCTAAAGGCCTGAAAATAGAGGATGATTTCCGTTTCCAAACTTCCTTCTGAAGTTTCATTTATTGAAGGGGATTGACTTGGCAGAGGTTTCCTTGATTATGGATCTTATTCATCTGTCTCACTCCTTTGTGTAGCCCCCACCAGTCCATGCTGGGTCTGTATGTTTTCTCTTTGGTTAAAGCTGAGGTGTACGAAGAGAGACACTATGTGCATCAAGGAACAGGTGCAAGGGGAAAATGTTAACCCCAATACCCCCGTATGGCATTCCTGATCCAAGTCACTTCTCTTGTCATGGGACTGCTCATGTCATGTGTTAATTCCCAAATGGCATGCTTCTATCAATCAGATAATGGCACCATTTTCTATTTTTTCAGTTTCAAATTTAAGAAAGCAACATAAAGCAGTGCTAGAAAGCTGGTATTGGCATCAGGCTTCAATATGGATTGCTTGGGTTATATTATAAGGTCTGGATGCAGAAAGTGATGGGGCTGTGCAGAAGAGAGGATTTCAGCAGCTATAGCTTGCCTTCCAAGATAGTTGTGGTTCTACAGCTGCCAGCTGAGAGATGCCCTTTCAGCCATGTACCCAAATGTCTGTGCCAAGATGTTCACCAGCTTTCATCAGGTCTTCTCCCACTCCCAGAAGAGCCAAGATCCATTGAAGAAAGAAGTGAGTTTTGGAAACGATCACTAATTTGGGAAAAGTGGAATGACCCTGTATATGTCCTACTCCCCCCATTGCCTTGTCAAAATCCCCTTAACTCCAGAGTTTTGATTGATAACTAACTACCAAATCAGCTAAAGGTATTTTAGAGTTTAGGGTGCTCTACTTTATCCTCTTTGCAAATTGGGGGGAGTCAAAAGAAGAGGTCAAAATTCCTTTTCCCCAAAGGGGGTGGGATACATTTTTGTACATTCCCAAGCAGCTAGAGTCCCAGGAAAAAATAAGCAATGCACATCACTCTGAGCACTGCCAGGGGATATAAATGGTATCACCCTCTTTTCACATGTAAAGGTCACTGACTCCCTGCTTTCCCTTGACAGCTTGCCTTTTGACAGCCAACAAGAAAAAACAAAGGAGAACATTCCCCTATTTGGTTGCTAGTAAGACATTGCCCCATCTAAGGCTTCAATTTTCTACACTCACACAAATGTTTACTCTGAAGCTGCGCAAGAGCAGCTAGAAGAAATAAAGAAAAAATGAAAAAACTAAGATACCCACAGCATGTAATTTTTTAAAAATAAAATTGACAGCCACTGACTCTATTCCACTCACTCACACACCCACACACATACACACATGCTGTTTGGCACTTTGAAGGAGCTGTTAAAACAGGGATTGTAAAACCTGGCTAGCCATCTGGCTTCCATGATCTTCGGGGAGAAACAAATAGGGAGAAGTTTGTGCTGAGGCAAAACCAGCTCCTAATCATGGCAGTGAGACCAGCAAGCCAGTGTCAGCCACGCCAAGCACCCTTGGGCACTTTGGGAGCAGCTGGTACTGGCAGGTGCCTGGGCGTACTAGGCAAGAGTAGCAAGGTGGTTTTCCTGCTCTTACTGAGCTGCTAAGTAGCTGATTCTCAGTACAAGACAATGGGGTTGGTCACCCAGTTTCAGACAACATGATACTGCACTGTTAGTGCAACAACCTCTAGAACAAGATGTGGGTTGTCAGGGGCTCTTGTTGACTCCAGCCAGCCAGCCAGCCTATGGAATAATTTCAGGTTCATGTAACACAGCAACTCTCTGAGAGAAGCAGCCCACGATGGGTTATGGAGTCATGTAACTTGTTCACTGAGCTTGCTTCTGTTGTTCTCACTTCAGATTCAGTTAGTGCGATCCTTCAGGATGGTAGAAGAAGCTTCCCCTTTGCAAATCTAAATTTGCAGGCTAAATTTGACCTACCAGTTTGACCTATTTTAGTAAAAGTTTTTGTGAGTCACCTTGTATGGTTTCAGAAATGCTGTTTATATGATCGCTGTTGGCAACCACAGACTGACAGAGTTGGAGGGATTCTTCAGAGATCCTTCAGACTACGCTCTCCCTCATATCATTACATTTTTAAGGATTAAGTTGAATATTATATCCAAACAATATAAGCTCCACAGTTACACATTTGTTACACATTTGTTGCAGGCATCCAGCTAACTTTTGTCTAGATCACACTTTTCTCTGGCATGAGATAGTTAAGTACAGGTGGAGACTAGATTTAGGGGAAAGAACATATACTTCTCCCCTACCCTGCACACACACGCACACATACGTCAAATGTAAATGTGCTTTCAGCTACCTGTCAAACTTCCAAAATCCATATACTATAATACCTTTATTAGGCCAACACAAGGATCATGAAAAATATGCAAGTGTTCAGGATCTCTGGATCAATTGGCAAAACATTATAAAGATATAAAGATATCTCTGGATCTCTGGCAAGATATTATACAAAGCATGTTGGTGGAGGGAGGAATAGGCAGCTGCCTTTGTTTTTTTCATATGACCTGTCAAACTGGATGGGCCTTTAATACAACAATAAGCAGTTAAATGAGGAGAACAGCCTTGATCTGGCAGATTTACTCAGCTGTGTCTGTCTTGGATTCAAATGATGGGGCTGCAACCAGAGAGCAAGGACCTCAGCCCCATGCTCCTTTTTCCGAAGAACACAGATGGTATGTTTGCTGCAGAAACAATGCCAGACCCACAGGGAAGTTGCTTCTCACTGATTGTGGTGATTTGCAATTCAGCCTGACATATCAGGCATGCATTATGTACAGGAACATCAAATCAAGTTCATGATCCTCTGGTTTACCACGGTCCTGCCAAACGTTTTGTGTCCACTGAAGCTGCAAACCTTTTGATTAGTGTGGTTGTTATCTGTGGGTGATTCTTCATCCAGCTGCCTATAATGGCATTTATGAGCCTTACCTGACCTGGTGCTCTCCAGGGGTGTCAAATGACAACTCCTGGTATGACCCAGTCAGCATGGCTAGCAGAACATGCTGGGAATTGTAGTCTACACACCAGACTGGGGAAGAACACTGGCAAGACAGACTTGCATAGTATACATGCTTTGTTCAGAGGTCACTCCCATGGGGTTCAGCAGTACTCCCTTCTAGGTAAATTTATAATTCTGGCTTTTAGATGGCAGTCCTATGCATGTTTACCTGACACTTACTTCTGAGTGGACATGCGCAGAATCCCATTGTCTGTTGTGTAGCTGTCTCATTCATACAGCATGTAAATGTGCAGAACCATATCTAGATTAGGTACACTAGCAAATCAGCTGAGAAAGAGCTGGAAACATTCTGCTTCCTGGTGCCTGCACAGGGCTGGGGGGTTTTCCTGATGCGTGTACATATAACAAAATAGACCCATGCATTTATCTCATATGACTGTATATGCAAGCACCATTTTCTATGTGGATATAGAAAGGATATATCCTTTTAATTTTCTTTAGTGGCAATCTGGTCTCTGTCAGCCAGTGAAATGTATATACAAATAAATTTGAATGCATGTGTTACAAATGTGTGTGCGTTTTTACTTTGAACTTGAAAGAATGTGATGAACTTCTCCTCCAGTTTGGCAGGAAGCAGGTACTTAATCAGAAAAAGCAACAACTGAAGTTGCAAAACAAGAAGCCTTGGGTGGTGACACTACCACGGCAGCAAGTGCATCTGAGGAGCATGAATGCATTTGTAATCCAGATGCTCTGGCTGGGGTCTAAGCTCTGTGCAGGCTCATGGGATTCTTGTGTGTTCCCATGAAACCTATGACAACTACCATCTCATGCAGCTAAGCCTCCAAGTTAACTAAGGACAATTTGTACTCAGGGCCATCTTAACAGCATTATGGGCCCCTGGCAAAGCAGTGTACTGGGGCCCCTATGACAATTACTCACAGTGCCGGTGTGTATCAGGAACGATACAAAGCAGAAAAGAACTTAAATTAGCAATTAGTGAAGTAACTATACACCTTTGATCGGTATGTATCATATATGATACAAGGTGCATTGAAGGGTTAACATACACAGATTAGTATGGGGCCCATGGGCAAGTGCCCATCAAGCCCATGCGTTAAGATGGCCCTGATTGTACTTTATGAAGCAGCACATTTCCTGTGTTTAACCGCTTGCCCTGTGGGAGACTACAAAAAGAGCATGCCCACCTTGTGTCCTTCTGTGTTTAGAGACACGCATCTCCTCTGTTTGATGTTCATCAAGGGGTAACAGTGTATGTGAATGCAAGATGTTTTTACCCTTCAAAAACTGAATCAGAAAGGAAAATTTCTCCTGCGTTGGCTCATGGCCCTCTTGCCTACAACTTTTGCTCAGCTTCCTTTGGAGTATCCAGACTCCCATACGCCACTCCAACTGATCTGTTGATGTGGCTGTCTTTTTAATAAAGAGAACCACACTCTTGTGAAACTGTAATCTTGTATACACTTTTCAGAGTGCCTCTGACTGAACTCAGTGATATTCACTCCCTTATAAATGTGCACAGGATCACTTTGTTATACAAACAGAATTATTTTTTAGAAAGAAGTTGTAATGTCAGACTCTTTGGCAGATGTCCTTGTTATTATAGAAACACAAATTAAAATGCCTTTGATAAAGTATGTTTTCTAGCAGGACTGTATCTTTATCTGCATGTCACCAGCATATATCTGGATCTCAACAGCTCAGACCTATACCAGAACAAACAAACAAATGAAATTTTGAATTATTTTATGTTGCATTCTTATTCCTTTTTATTATAAAATAAATACCTTTGTCTCACACTTGCAAAGCAGTTCCATCCTGTTCTTTCAGCCAACCCTACCATTTTTTTTCCCTTTCAGTAGCCAGTTTCTTTTTGTACCTAGGCTTAGAGGAGGCATATTTACAAAACATGGTTTTGTAGTATATTTGCTCACAGCTATAGGAGTGTGAGAAGGGGAGACAGAATGAACAAACTGAAGACTTCTGTGTGCAGAACAAAGAGCAGAGACCTACAAGACGCAAAACATCAATATGGAGTTTCAAAGTAGGCACGTGTATTTATGTTTTTTTAAATACCATTGTGTATCTCCACTTTTCCAGGTAATAAGATGTTCCAGGGACAGAAAGAACACATCAAAGACATGCCTGGTTTTTACAGTATTGGTTTGATTTACAAAGCTACAGTGTAAGTGGAGGCAGAGGCACTAACACAAGGCAGCAAATACATTACTTATATCAGAACCGCCAAAAAAGAGATACAAAGATGCTTTACCTTCAGCCAGCTCTCAGTACCCCTATTCCGCTCCCACCTCCATTTGAAATTGCTGCTTCTCTTACTCACATACACTTTGCCAAGCATTAATTTCAGAACCCCAACTCTGAGGCCAGTTGACTGTTCCAAAAACATTCAGAGCTGCTGGTCCTTATGCCAAATCCCTAAAGCCCACCATGACCCTGTGATCCATGGGTCCTCAAACTACAGCCCAGGGGCCGGATCCGGCCCACCATGCCCATTTGGACCTGCTGCGTGTGTGCCCATGCACGCGCCCAACTCTGAGAAGGCTCTCCCTGCTGCCCTCTGGATCTTGGCTCAGACCAAGCAGACCCACGTCGTAAGCCTTGCAAGTTGCACAGTGGTAACTTTTGAACTGCAGGAGCTCATCAGGGCAGCCCCATAGCCGCACACCCAAGGACATGCCAAAAATGCAGGCAAGCATATTGATCGTGTGTGTGTGGTGGGGTGTATGTGTTTAACGCACAAAGAGCAACAGTACATACAATAATATGCCTTTTCAGAAGGACTTCACTGAAACTCCTCCATGTTCTTCTTCCACTGAACTGCCTTGCACAAGCATGCAATCTACATTCTGAGCCTCCAATACCAGTGTATTCAGTTTAGGCATACCAAAGCTGCCTTGACATTGAAGATTATTCCATCCTTATTCAAGTAAGGACACCATTCTAGAGGTCATTCACGTTCAAATACGAATTTTGGTGGAGCTGGTGGTAAGACAAGTCAGATGATTCTCTGGACAGTAATATTAAGCAAACCCTCAGTCTCTAGGTCAGGGGTGTTGAACCTCAGCCCTGCAGATCAAATCTGGCCACCTGGGGACCCCGGCTGGCTCTCTGACTTTTTCCAAATGACCAGATCCCCTTTCCCCAGACACCAGCCAGTTTCTACCGAATGCCAACTATTTGGTGGCTTCCCAGATTTTCATATCCCCCTGCACCCTTGCAAAAGATTGAAATGCCTCTGGGACTAAGGATATTAAACTCAAGCATGCTGGCATGTTGTTCCTGCCCCTTTTGCCTTTGGCCTGTTGTCTGAAGTTGATTTGGCCCCCAGGCTGGAAGCAGTTCAGTTTCTAAGCCACGCCCCTGAGGCCCTCCAGTGTCAGGCTGGCAGCCTCGCCTGAATCCATGAAGCTCTGACCAACTGTGGCACAGCAAGGTAGTTTCCGGTTGGCAGGCTTTGTGTTGAAGTAGTACACAAGAGGGTCCAGGGCACTGTTGATGCTGGCAAGGGCCATGGCTGCACGCTGGGCTGAACATGTGAAGTACAGCAGCCCTGGGGCTGGCAAGATGCCAATCCGGGCAAGGGTATGCAGCGAGTGGATGGTGTGGAAAGGTAGGAAGCAGAAGGTGAGCAGGCCAGTCACCATCAGGAGGGTGTGGAGTGAACGCCTGCGCAGTGAAGATGCCTGGGCCGAGCCTTGGGGCAGGTTCATAATGCGCCGAGCAATCACGATGGAGCAGATGATGATGGTGAGGAAAGGCACAAAGAAGCCCAGGGCCGAGCAGGTCAGGACCATGGCTGCCAGGCCTCCGCTCCAGACCTGAGCTGGGAAATTCTCCATGCAGGCTGTATTCCCATTCGTGAAGCGTCGGGTCACCGTCTTCTTGGAGAAGAGTATCAACAGCCCAATCCCTACCAAGGACCAGATGGCCATGGAGAGCAGCACACGGTAGAGGGGCCACCTCAAGCGCAGGTAGCGGACGGGGTGGATAATGGCCACGTAACGCTCCAGGCAGATGCAAGCTAGGAAGAGGGTGCAGCTGAACATATTGGCCAGGAAGAGGGCGTTGGTGACCTTACAGAGGCCTTCGCCAAAGGGCCAGTCATTGCGTCGAGCATGATACACTGCCTGCAAGGGCAGTGAGAAGGCAAAGAGCAGGTCAATGACAATGAGGTTGTAGATGAAAATCATAATGGGTGGCGCCTGGGCCCGGCTGGCCCAGCAGCTCCACAGGGCCACGCCGTTGGAGGCCAGGCTCAGGACGCAGACCAGGCTGTACGTGATCGGCAGGAGCAGGTGCTGGAACTCTGCCTCAGCCACACACTGGAAAGGTGCTGAACTGTTCGGGTGAGAGCCTGGGGCTTCCCCTGAAGCGTGCGTGCCATTTCCCCACATCTGCAAGGCAAAACGAGAGCTGTGTGTCCGATTAACCCAGCACATGGACTATTTCTGGAATCCTCTGGGACCACAGCTTGGGCCCCAGAGGAAAGAACGTGTGATCTGCAAGGGCAGGGCACAGTCTCGCCCTGTGTGCATCCACATGCCCCGCAGGCCAGCGTGCTCTAAAAAAATTGCAACCCAGGGACTCTGCTGAGACATTTCACTTGGCCAGTGGCACTGGCAGATGGCAGCTAGCTTTGTAGCTGCATGGAGCTCTTTTTCAAGCAGAAATCCCAGATCCCATATCAAAGGAATTCTCTTATCCACTGGGGGGCCTGTCAAACCTTCTCAGCGATATTACTTTCTCTTCCTTCTCTGCTCTGGTCTTCCACCTACTCATGCAAAAGCTCTCCCACCCTCCCCCAAGCAGTCTTGACAGTGCATTTCCTCCCTTGCTTGCCACACTTCCCTGCTGAAGTTTCCCATGCCTCTCACTTCAGTTGCCAAAAGAGATCCTTCAGGTCTAAGTACCCCAGGGAGAAATCAACTAGCTGAACAAGTGTGCAGCATTTCTTAACAGGGGATGAGCCTCAGGCTGCCATCTTGCTGTTGCCTCTGACAGGCTCTTGTTGAGCTGGTTGCATGAGATCAGAAATGCAAACCAAGCACCCTCCACCCCTTTCTGGGTAGGAATGGAGGTATTGCAGAGGATCCTTTTACAATCCTCTGCAAAATGCCTTTGCTGCACACTCCCCCGTCCCTGCTCCTGCCACACAGATGCACACGCTGTCCAGCAACCCTCCCTTTGCAGTACAAATAATCAGAAATCTTCGGTGTGGGGAATTCCAAAGGTCTGCTGCATCCATACATACCTCGTGTGCTTCGCGTATCCTGAAAGGGGCCTGCTCTCCCACTGGTTCTGTGTGGCTTTAGGAGAGATGCAGTGGTGAGTGAAAATTACTCTGGAAGGTTGATGTGGCCACCCGTATCAGTCTGTCCCTGTTTCCTGTCTTTATCCTGCCCTTGCACATATGCAAAGCTCCATTTTTATTTTTGATGCTGATTATGGTCATTTTTGAGACTGCTGGGACTGCAGTGCATATAGGATACAGTTGTCCCTTCTGTCTTGCACTTTCAGGGCTGTTGTTTACCTCAAATTCTTATTTTTCTTTTCACCCTAATTCACATTAACAAAGAATTAAACCTTGGATCTTTTAGATCCAGCAAATTCAACCCAAAAGTGTGCCTACAGGAATGAATTGTGTGCAAGAGACTAGTACACAGTTTGCATGTGTTCTAGGCTAGAGGGATGAGGTACTCTCTTGAGGAAAGAAACATGCAGTCGAAGAGCTGGGCAGAATGATCTTATGGCCAGAAAAGAGCTGCGACCTTGGAGCAGAGAACCAGTGCTCAGATCTGCCCCTTCCCCTACAGCCAATGTGGGAAGAACTGTGTTGGCTGCATTTCCAATGTTGTAAGAGATGAATAAGAGGGCATTCCAGGGGGTGGTGAGGGGAGAAGGCTGGATTTGCCCGTGGCAGCACATGGCCATAGAAGGGGTGTTAAGGAACATGCAAAACAATAATCTATCTATCTATCTAGAATATTTTTATCCCGTCCCACACAATTCAATTGTCTCAGGACAGCTTACAATAAATAGGCAATAAATACACAACAATCAAAAAATGCAATAACAAAATACAATAGCAAAATAACAAAATGCAACTGAAAATATAATAAAACCAGATTAAAATTATTTAAACCTTCAAATGTTGGGCAGATAAAAAGGTTTTTACCTGCCGCTGAAAAGAATATAAAGTCAGCACCAGGCAAACCTCTCTGGGGAGTGCATGCCACAGTCGGGGCACCACCACAGAGAAGGCACTCCTCCGGGTGTTCACCCTCCTAACCTCTTTCAAGGAGGGTTCCCAGAGCAGGGCCTAAGCTGAAGATCTTAGGGCGTGGGAGGGCATATAGGGGAGAAGACATTCCTTCGGGTATCCTGGTCCCAAGCCATTTAGGGCTTTATAGGTTGATACAAGCACCTTAAATTGGACATGGACTATTCATTTGTTGTAACGTGCAATAGAGTAATCTATTCATTTGTTCTACTGAATTTGGCTCATGTGTGAACATAAAGAAGGTCAGCATCATCGTGATGTTTTTCTGGGATCTAGTCTCTAAAACTGTCCATCAATTCTGCCATAAAGTTTGCACTTTCTTGGACATGTGATTCCAAAACAGGTTTGTTCTGACCCCAATAGAGGAATCTGAGGGGCTTAGAAGACTCTGAGACAGATAAAACCATGGAGCCACCTCAGTCAGAAGAAACAGAGGAGCCGTAGGACTGCCCTGCCAGGAGAGGAGAGCTTTGCATCAGAGGCAGAATCTGAGTGTCCACCCAGTCCCAGAGGATGCTGGCATCTTCAGAGGCACAGCTTTAAGTCTCCTTTAAGATGAAGCACTGGACTCCAAAGAACTCCTCCATAGTAAAGATTGTAACTTACAGCAGCAGAGCTGTTGGGAGGGGATCGGGAGACCCTGGAAACGTAAGCCAAAATTTTGTGTCTGGACTTTATTGAAAACAGTAGTAGTTTCTAGGGCTTTGTAGCTTGGCCTAAAGCTCATGTTTAAGCCTCTGTATTATGGACCTTGGATTTTTGATTCTGATTAAACTTGCCTGCTATCCTGCATACTTTGTCTCATTTACAACCCTGGCTTGTCTCTTGTAAATCATTGTTTGCCAGTAAAAACCCTGTTTTGCTCTTTGCCTGCTTAATTGGCTGCTCCATTGCAATTAGCTGTGCATGTTTGCATGGCAATGACCAAGTGGCAAATGCTATTGTAAGCCTTCCCTGGAATGACTTTCGAGTGTCTGGAAAACCACCACCATTTCTCAAAGTGCCTGTACCCTGGCCTGTGATGTGCATCAAATGTAACACTTGGCTTGTTGTGTGTCTCTTCCCTTATGAGGACCGCAGATTAACAGTAGAATGCCCAATTAAATTGGCTCTCTGTGGTTTCATGTTGCCAATGTTGGGAAAATTCAGATAAATCCTGGCAGAAAAGGATTGCTTATGTGCCCTTATGTTATAAAAATACCTGCACCCCTTTCTCAGGAGGCACCCAAAAATTCCAAGCCAGGTTACTGTTTAGCCTTTGCTGTTACTTTTAGAAGTGGGACCTGATGGCTTCCCCAAGAAGCTGCCAGGTCTATTGTTTCTGCTGATCAATAAGAACTGATCAGGCTGCCAGGTTAACAGCATTGCAGTCACCCTCATTTGTATGCCAAGACCCTGTGTCTGAGTGATCCTTATGTTAATATCCTGCAATCAAATGCCATTGTATTGAGCCCCCTCTGCAGACCTCTCACCTTCTTCTGTCTGTGTCCACCTTATTTCGTCATCAGCTCCCCAACCGCTGGTCCCATTTGACTCAGAACCACTCTGAGTATGTTCTAAAAGCTTCTAAACCATTCTGAGTATGTTCTAAAAGCTTGTAGTTGGTGGTGGAGACCATTACCTGTAGCATGCTATTGTAAGTAACCTCAGGGGCCCCGGGTGATCTCATCAATGAAAAGGCAGGGTTGAAGGCAATTCAATCTTCCCTGTGACTCCTGGCAATTCATTCTTGCCATTAGTAAAGAGGCTCTGACAAAAACTAGTAGTGTTCGGTGTTTCTGTCAGAGCTGTGAAACAAGATGGAATTCACCAGATAAAGCTTTTCCCTGAAGTGATGGAGAAAACTTGTGCTGTTGCTAACTAGAATTGAATCTATCAGTTTTAGGGTCCATCTAAAAACATCCAAAGATTCTTTTTTCTGTCTCTCCCCACCTCTGTTGCCCATTCAGAACATCAGTAAGCAGATACTACACTGGCTTGTCACAGTAACAAATCAAGCCCTCAGGCCTGATTGTACCCATGATAGCATCTCAGAGGCCACACCAAGTAAACAGCACAGAACAACAGCTGTATACAGCATGTTTCCTCACACTCTGCTAATGGAAGTGCTGGTAACGTTCATGCTTTGTGTGCCAGTTGGTTCATGTGAACCACTTCTGAGCTGGGTGGCCATACAAATGGGCCTACTCAGGCCTATTTATGTGGGAGCAGCAACTGTAGATTAAAGGCACAGAAATTGTGGAATGGGGGATATATTCATTTTTCAGTGTTTTTCATTGATTCTAATTATTTTATGTGTACCTCACCCCTTGGTTACTCATTAAATGGAGTGAATAACCAAAAAATATTGAATTATATTAAATAAATAATCCACAAAGATTCTGGAGTCTATGGATTAAGTCCAACACATGGTTTGGCAATAAATGAAGCATGTTCAAACCTTTGTTGGATTTAGGCCTAAGAGGTACCACCTCCGTTTTTACAACTGTCTTCCAAGTTCCTTTACCAAGACTTTCTGCTGGTATAGCAACGGGGGCTGGGAGAATTAGCTAAACAAGGTTAGGAAGGTCTAGGGACAAATACTCATGGCCATGGTGGGTAAAAACCAGAAGTGTGTTGCAGAGTTACACAGCCGTAGTCATGCATTTTCAGTCTGATTTTGTGGCTATGGGTGCAATCCTATGCATATTTATACCAAAAAAGTTTTATAACTTCCAGCAATCCCTAGCCCTATTTTTCTCTCTCTTTCTACACATACATAGAGTTACACTCTATCAGTGCAATCCTACATAGATCTTGACAGAGAATAACTTGGATCAATGAGTCTTACTTCCAGGCTAGGATGTGTAAAAGTTTTATTCCAAACTACAGTTGGAAGCAAGATAGTGGGGTTATATTTGCAGTGTTGCTATCATCACATGCTGGCTGACATCAGAACAGGCTATTGTGGGTTGTTTTTACTATGTTTGGCCTGTTGTGTTCTCTAAATCCAGTGGTGACATTTCATCATAAGTTTGGTCTTTAGAAACCACAATAAGAAACTACAGTTTGTTCTATGGCTTCTCTGTGCCACCATGGCTTGACGTGTTGTCTGAATGCAGGATTGTAGTTTCTGCAGTCCTGGTATGCAGCTACACAAAGTCTTCTGGAAAGAGCAGCAGTGCAGGAGATGTTCTGGCCATCCATCCTCTATGTGTAGACCAACAAAAAAAGAGGCAGGTAGCAAAAGTGTGTATAGTCAAGGCTATGGTTTTCCCAGTTGCAATGTATGGCTGTGAAAGCTGGACCATAAGGAAGGCTGAGTGCCAAAGGACTGAGGCCTTTGAATTGTGGTGC